GAAGAGCAAACCAAACCAGGTGTTTCATACCTGATTGAGCGCGTCGTACAGACTTTCGTAGAGACTTTCGAGGTTCAACAAAATCACTATTCGTCCTGTCTCCATGCAAACCTTGATACGGTTAATGTTGCGACAAATCTGAATGACACACGAATTATAAATAATGTCAGTTAAACTGCCGAAAGATACATATATTACCGTAAAGGGTCAGTACAAACTTAATGTCAATAAATAAATCAATCTATAAATTAACTTTTTTTATACACGGAAAATTTTAAAGTTTTAAAAGCTTGTGGGTTCATCTACAACTTAAAATTTCAAAATATAAATGAAAGAAAAATATCTAAAAACAGATTCCTAAAATATGTTTAAAACTTTAAGATACAATATTCACTTCTAACGTTATTTAACAAGTATTCCTTGAGCGCGCGTTGGATGTGAGATGGTAAATAGCCAACGAGGCCAACTCGAATGGAATAATTAATATTGTTTTATTAAATTTCATTATTAAATTCTGTAACCTTGTATACTTGAAAATTATAGCTTAATTTTATTGGATGTATATTTTATAAAACGACCGGAAGTTGATGTGGCAAAAATAACAACAAGTGGGAAATCACATGACATGTGCGCCGTTTGCAAACTTAGTTGAATGAAAGATTTGAAAGCGAAGCGAGTCTGCTCCACGAACAATCGTGAACAATCATGTAGAATTCAAGGAACGTCTACTATTATTATTATTATTATTATTATTATTATTATTATTATTATTATTATTATTATTATTATTATTATTATTATTATTAACAAATCAATGAGATACAACCCTGGTCAAAAACATTGAAGAGAGTTCAAGTTTGACTCATCGAGAAGAGCAATAATTGTGCACTTGCACATTGCAGTTTAGGCAAAAATACTGCGGAAAACTTTGATCGCCATGCTACACAGACGTTGTGCTAAAATTAACTTATTCTCGACAAGAACTCTTTCAGCGTTCCCTTGCTGCAACTGCCCCGGGATTTCGAACTGAATGTGTGGAGCTGATTGCTGACCAGTTTCAGAGTCAGGGACAGGAAATATCTCAGCGTCGGATTCATCTTCAGAATCTCCGAGGCCACCCTGATGGTTTTTCGTGGCTGGTAAAGAAACGGGCCGACTTCGGTTTAGCTCAAAGTACACAACTGGATCCTTGAGGGGTTTTTCGCAGTGACAGAATTGTTGGCGTTAGCTGGCGTTGATTCCCTCGTCCTCGTCGGTCAAAAAAGAGAACGAGATAACACTAGATCTTTCTCTGTAGCTGTGCGGGATTTTTGCTCTTGGCTGGTCCGAGCTCGCTGTCGAACAGATTCTTCATCTGTTAGCTGGAAATTGGTTTCTTATGGACTACGCCGGCAATATTGCCTGTCTTCCTGAAGTCTGTAACAAATGCTCTAATAACTTTATTTGCTTCCGTAAAAGCAGGGTCAGCGATTATTGAAAAGGTCTTATTGTGCGATGGCGACCGGAGAAAGCAGGCAATGGCAGCTCTTATCGACTTGATTGAAGTGCTTTCGTAGAAACTTCCGTCCTTTTTCCTCGCGGAGGTGTAAAAATTCTTGAGGCTACTTTAAGTTTGTCTTAGCTCATTTCTTCAATTGACTTCGCCGAAAACTTACTCCCACAAGGACTGACAAGCCATTTGAAAGGTAAACTTGGTTGTTGTTTTTGTTATGTAACGTTTATCAGTGCCTCAAGTTTTGATGTACTTTTTTCTTAATTTGTCAGAAAAATTGACATACGTACCATTAAATAAACTCATACCAAAGTTTGTAGCTGTCTTCGTCATTGTAGGTATAGCATCTTCCATTAGTTCCTGTTTTTCTTCGGTACAAAGCTCGCAAAATCTACTTTCGCCCGACAGTTTGTCCGCGGGAAGTTTTGCTTCCCGCAGAAATGGTTGAGATTGGCGTCACTTGACGCAGTCAGTTTCCAAATAAGGTCAAACGCAGGTATGATGACTGGTAACCAAGATTGAGTGAGCCAATCAGAATGCTAGAAACGCAATATCCGAAGTTGAAAATTTAATAATTAGAAATATTCAGTGAAATTTCAACTAAACTAAAATTGTCACTTGATGTTCTCAGAGAGTCCGGCTGTGGTACATTTTACCTGAGTGTATTCCTGGTCATTAGGAAAACTACTTCCAAGGATGACCACCGCATCATCTGCCGTCTTCAAGAGATGTTGTTGTATGATTGGCAATGCGGCGTAATTTTCCGTCAGTATCAAAAGGTAACGGTTCTCGCTGCACAAAGTAAGACATCAGTTAAATTAACCATCAACAGCAGTTGCCATCACTACTGCACATTTTTACAATTTTTTCTCTGTTTTGTCATTAGTTTAAGTTTCGATTGAGAAGATATGTCAAACGCTCAAGATAGTATATGACCACATTTCCAAATGCTTCGAGCAGGGGCGTATTTAACGTTTCCAAATACCACGAAGTTCAACAAAAAATACTCCGCGACGCGTCGTATTTTAAACTCTTCTCTCTGTGTTTGGAAATGTGATCAAACACGGTCTTTCGTGTTTGATATATTACGTCAAAATGAAATGAAAAGAATTTCAAGAATAACCTGAAATTGCTGCGGTCTGCAACATCTTCCCTTCCAAGACTTGCCTCGATTAATCTTATTGTTGTAGAGGTTTCTGCAAAATCTTCCTCCTAATAAGGTAAAGTTTTTTTTTAAAGAAATCAATAGAACTCTGAATTGTTAACCATACTCCAATCAAATAAATCATCAGTAAATCAAATAAACCTTGGCCTTACAAAAATCAAACTGCCTGGATGCTATTCTATCGACAAACCAAACTACCTAACCTACATTTGGTTTGAGATCACGAAGTGAAGTCACGGATATTTCTAATGCTGTATGCTAGAAATGGAGTACAGGTAGAACTATGTTTTGCTTTGAAAGAGAGCAGATTAGTCAACGACTTGGCAACCGCGATAGCCGCGGAAACCGTATGACGTAATGCCTCGCGAAGGTTTCTTTAAACCCATCTCTGTGGACGACAACATAAGGTAAACTCACATCTGGTCCCCGATAGTGGCGTTTGAATATCTCTACAGGCTCTCCTTCAACTAGGCCACCAAAGTTCCTCTTGATAGCGTGTTCCAGTTGGTGCCAACGAGGTCTTTCGCCAGATTTGGCAACGATAGAGTACACCATTTTGATAAGGCTTATAAAACACAGAAAAACAAGTGAATCACTGAACAACTGAGAAACAGTGAGTGATAATAAATAGCATAAAAAGATAACGGCACGGATACAATGTTGCACCTGTAAAAGTCACGAAGACCGAAAAATTCTTCCTTGCCACATTTCTTCAACGTGCCAAAGTTTTTCTGTTCCTTGTAAAGTTCTGCATATCCCTCGGCCAATGGGGATATTAGAGGTTGAATACGATTTTTCACCAAATCGTCTGTTGAACAAATTCCCCTGCAAAATCAACATTAAAAAGTTCTAGACGAGAGCAATAAACCTCTTAAAATAATTTCTATGCGGAGAACGTCAGAAAAGGTTGATACAGTGGTGGATCTAGGGGAGCCCCCCACCTCTACCCCTTATTTTGGGTATAAAAAGAAANTATCTCCGTTATTGAGTTGTCCTTGTTGAATACTGTTTTGACTGTTTCTGATGCCGGAGTGACTTAAATTTACCGTGCACAGGAGCAATCACTGCATTAAAATTAAATTTATCTTTATTAACATTTTTTACACATAAATACCTTTTATTTGCATGTTGCAACATTATAATATAAATAATTTGCACGTTCGTGCAGCGGTATGTTTGAAATAAATTAAATAATTTATTAACCCAAATATTAATATTAAATTGAATTCACTTGTCGTTAAAATGAAACATTTTTTAACGTCGTCGTCTTTCAATAAAGAATATAAAATTATGATAATAAAGCTTCTTTGAATAACATACAAAGCAGTTAAATCGGGATCATGTGCCAGGATTAAAATTAGGGTCTGACAATTCTATTCTGAAATGCCGTTTGGAGAGGACATCAAATATTAGTCACTGCCTCAGATTGGCAGAATTAAAAGTACTTAATGGCCGGTGTATAGTCAAAACAATAAACTGAGCATTGCAAAAATCGAAAATCATAGTACAGAAAATTAAAAGCATCAGGGAGAATTCTCAGAATTTCAGGGAGGACCTTCGTTACAACTCAGTAAAATTCAAACAGTCAGTGTTTATCAGAATTGTCACCCCTCGTTTTACGAGGCAGCGTGTCATCTCAATTAAAAAGGTCATGTATAAGCTAAATAATAGGCTTGGTCAAGCTAAGCATTAATTCTTTCTCTGCGAGGAGTGAAGAAGTATCAAACTGAGTTTGAAAAAAAATGACAGACTGAACCATATGAAAAGTGCTGCTCATAAAGGGTTTCATCCAAATTGCTATCATTATCTCCAGACTCTAGAGGATCTAGAAACGCTAAACGGAGTTAATGGAGTTTTGACGACCACAGGGTGCCGATGTTTCTGTCATTTAATTTAGTTTATTACCGTCTTTCCTCAGTAAGACAAACTGTAAAACAGTCAATATGAAATACAATAACAATACACAGTATCGTTTGGTGTTTTAAAAAGTAGATACTGAAAATATACATATGTACTTTCGAATAAGTTATGTGAAAAATATTTTCTGCTTTGAATAAATAACTAAATAAGTAAATAAATATCATATATGATTAAACAATTATTTTCATAACGTATCTTCCATAAGTTTTCTCTTTGGTAATAAATATATCTTTTAAGCGAAATTCAATATTGACGGCTTTTAAGTAGGCTCTTCACAAATAAATAGGTTTCTGTAATTAAATATACTTCTATGTTATAATACTTTTTAAGGTCACTGTACACCTAAAACAGTTTTAATTCGTGAACTAACAAACTCTAAGATTTATACGGCATAAATCGCGCGGCCTTCTGGAGGTTCGTCGTATTGTGTGGCTGTTTTACCTTTCCATTTCGTTTAAAACCGAGATACCAGCTTGTGTTGTACATTGACTGAAATGTTGTGTACCCATCGGAGAAGTCTTCTGAAAACACGCAGCGGTCTAAAGTGTTTCCATGCACCTACAGAGATCAGGAAAAACAACTTTTAGTCTCCCAAATAAAAAGGAAAATGTTTCCAGGACGACGCAGGTAAGCTCGGCAAAAAAGGCCCCCCCCCCCCCCCCCCCCCCCCCCCCCCCCCCCGCCCCGCCGCCTTTTAGCTCAAGGTCTAGATCCACCACTGAAATAGTTGAAAGGTTGCCGTTAAAGACCAATTCAACATACTTGATGTTTCACAACGACAATAAGTAAATGGTCGTCAACTTTGTGATTGACAATGTATTGAAATTAACAACACAAAATTAAATATTGATATAGGGCATATTCATTCACGTGTCCAGCAGCCATCCAAATTTATTGGAACAAGACAAAGTGTTTACAGATGAAAAGAGTTGAGCTCCCACAGGATTGGTTTGATACACCAACATGGCCACCGTTTCATTGTTTTTGAACACCAGTATGGCTGCCATGACGTCATGTGCATACCCTCCATAGTAGAGCATTAATTCTTGAAGATTTAAACGACACTTTCATTTTTACTTACAATGCGCTGTCTACCAGTTCTCCTACGTCTGGCACACCACGCGATAACATGATGCCGCGGTTCATCTTAGCGGGGTCTAGGGCCCAATTTGAGATCCCAATGAAAGCTACACGCTGGGCTTTTTCATCAGTCTCAATGACGTCATCTGCAGAAGTGACATTATCCTCAAGAAGAGGATGTAGGGTTTTCAAAGGCATAAGAGGAGAGTCCTCTGCCAGCCCAACCTCATCAAGGACGACAACTGATACAAACTTCTCTGGATTTTTACCCTCCTGCAATTTGCTACACTGACGGAAAGTAGCCACGATACCCTCTGGGGTTGAAAGAGGACTGCACTGATACGACACCATGTGGACCTATCATTTAAAGCGTATATTAAAAAACAGGAGTGCTTGAATGAACGTCTAACATTGAGAGCACGTTGAACAAAATGGAGGCACTATATTCAACAAGGAACGGGCTTGTTATGGGAAATAATGTTATTTTGCTTAATTTTGGAAAACGCTCTTTCGATTGAAATGTGAAAAAGAGCCTTATTACCTGCTTGAAAGTTTTAAAGAGCTCCGATCTTGCAGCATCTCCCTGCATATTGTCGACTACAACAGTCTTGGCCAAGGACTTTGAGCTGCCCGGTTTACCAACCACGAACAGTGGGATTCTGAGCTCAATACACACCACCATCATGAACACGTTCTCACTCAAGGCTGCGTTCCTTGCAATGTTTGGGCCAAGTTCCAATTCCTTTAGCACAGCTCTCTGACAGCTAACAATGACAGAAATAGGAGGGATAACATAACTTGGTGCAAAACTACCATTTTAAATCTCATTACTAGAGAAAGTCCATAACCTAGAAACGCAGTAGGTTTCGTTGTTGCCAACTTCGAGTTTCGACAAAGATAAACTCTCTTAATTTCGTCTAATTCTTGCATTTTAAGAAGATCATTCCAGTTGATAACTTGTTAGTAACAAATACCACCTTTCATTCCTTGCAAGTAGTACAACGTTAAACGATAAACTCGATAACAAAGGGCCTGATGGTATTTCAACTTAAATTAGACCAAAATTATTTTCGTCCTCAGAGGCTGGCATCCCCCTGACTAACACAAAGAGTCACGGCCTGTGGCCTACAGGCTATCTGTACATCTACAACTGCAGATAAACGACGAAAAATTAAGAGACAAGAGAAAACGAATGCTCAGCGCATCCACAAATTGTCGGGTCCAGCCAGAGGTCGGGATTTTTTGGTGTCGAGGATCGCAGACTTTGGGGACAAGAACGATCAACAATAACACCAGTTTGAAAACCTTGAAATTTCACGGAGGATCTGCCTTTGTCCACCACTAAGCAAACACGGCGTTTTAAAGCTTCGTGCTACTACAGTACGGTATTCCCCACGACGTTCCTGCAACTTTGCGTGGTAGCATACACCAATGGCCAGTACCAAGGCACGAGTAATGGGATCAATCAGCTTCTACGAGTCAAAGGTACGACAGTGTCAATGCACAACATTTGGTTATCATTATGATTGTGGTCCTTACTGCACCAATGCATTAGAAATACTTAACATATTGGAAAATCGAATAGAAAGTAGCCATACAATAGCAACTCATTGTTATATGGCCTGCTCCGCAAGCAGGCAAGATGAACCAAATCCTGCATTGCGATTGGATACCCGAGCGGCCAAGATGGGGCTGAGTTTTCGCTTCGTTCTTTTTCCGCGTCGAGGTACAAGAACAACCAAACAAAGAACTTGGCCAACATCCGCCCATCTTAAGGTGGCTCAAAACAGTTTCCAGCACTTAGATTTTGATGGCTCGCTATAATCACTCTTTATAACTTGATGCTACAATCATGGTATCAAGAAACTGCCCAACCATTGGTGAACACGTAGTTATCACTTTCGTAACACAATAGGTTACCATAGCAACAGTATGACCTGCTAAAACCATCCTCAATTACAGCTTTAGTTGGCTTAAAATTCAAAAACGGCACGGTGAATTTATATATATTATCAACAATTGATAAACACGATAAGACGCAAGTTTTGGCAAAGTTTAAATGAAAATGATAACAACGTGTTCACCAATAGTTGGGTAGTTTTTCGATACCATGATTGTAGCATCAAGTGATAAAGAGTGGTTATAACGACCCATCAAAATCTAAGTGCTGGAAACTGTTTTGAGCCATCTTAACCTCACATGTAGTAGAATATTTTATGATGTACGTTGCTCTCTTTGTGGTGGGTTAAAAAATTGAAATGCGTCATAGCTTACGTCGTCATAATCATCTTCATCATCGTCACGATCTTCCTCCCTTCGTTGTTCAGTGAGAACTTTGTTCATCAGTCTGCTAAGTGTGTCCACGTGGTTATAAAACCAAACCATCACTTGCATGGCTCTCTCAACATCACGAAGGCTCACAAAGCTACACTCGTCCTTAAATTGAAAGAGAAACCTTTACATTTCCCTACGTAACTTGTAGATGGCAAGCAATTAAATGAAATAAAAGACATAAATTGTAAGTCCTCACCCTGATTAACAACATTATAAGAAAAAAAATAAAATTTAGATAGAAAAATAAATAGTGAAGAACTTTATTTACTGTCAGACCAATACCCGAATTAGTTAATTTATGTTTTTTTTAATTTTTCCTTACACCAAACTGTAAACTGCAAATTCTTCCTTCATCTCTCCCGTCCTACAATTAGACATAACTAGGCTGGAAGCTAACTTGAAAATCTAACGGTTCATTTAGCCTCCAGTCACCTTCAAACCGGACTGTAGCAATTACCCAATTACCTCATCTGAAACATACCACCTATACTAAATAAACTAAAAATGTAATAATGTCCACATTTATAAGGAGAAAATAAACATGCTGATGTTAATGATGTTGTTGTCGAGAAACCCTGCGTTTTACAGAACAGCTCAAAATACAAATATGTAAAAAAAGAGTATTCCGCGGAAAACATTCAGACAGAACGTTTTTATTTCCTGCTCACCGACTGATCTCTCATGTATTTCTGTGAAGCTGCTAAAACTTCCGCGACTGCTTGCACCGTTGACGCATCCCCAGGTATTTGACGTTCATCTAGAATCTGAAAGAATAATTGAATGGGCAATTGGGCAACACTAATATATTTAGCCAAGCCTAAAAGCGGAGCTCCTAATTACAATAACTTAACCTGGTTTGAGCCTGTGAGCCAATCAAAAATCTGTACCTGGACAACGGTCAACTTCAAAAAACACGTGACCTCGATGATCTCTAAACATGAGCCCACGATAGGGCCACGTGATACTGGTCAGTGGATACCTTGTTTAGAAAAGTGTGAATTGAACATAAGGGGATGCCAAATATCAAAGATGTACGCTGTAAACTAAGGGTGGACGACTTGGTCGACCTATTAGCTGGAGTATGGCCGCCATGTTGCGCATCGTCATCGTCATCGCAGGGCGCACGCACCCGCGATCCAAGCTGCTAGCCATGTTGACCGTGAAAAAAGTGTTGCATGGTTTTCTTTTTCATGCATGGATGTGGTTCTGTTCCTATAGTTATGGTGTTCAGGCTATGAGTTAAACATTTTTAGAGGGCAATTAAGAGGGTAATCGAAAATCTTTGACTTGAAGTGGATTTGGCAGGCCTGCGAACTTTGGATTTATTTTCATGCTCTAAGGACTGAGCTACGAGGGTTTAACGGACTCGAATCGATATCCAAGTAAATTAGATTTTACTGAAGACTGCGGTGTTCTACCCACAGTTCTACCAACGTCTGTACTTGTAATAAGATAGATTAACTGGCCAACGGATGTTCCGAGTTAAAATCCCAATGAGTTATGTTTATCTTTTGCGTCTTGATGTAGCTTTTAATTCACAACGCTTTAATATAGATTTGCGTTTGATGATTAGTATTTCATCTGAGCAATCCAGATTTTCGCCCCATATAGCCATACTTACATCTAATCAAAGGACCAATCACACGGCAGAGCTCTAGTATGTACTCAGGTGTTTTACTCTCCTGACTAGCGCAGTTTAATCCTCACAGAAAAAGAATCCATGTTCGAAAACACCTTTTCGCGTGAACTATAACTGATTGTAGTTCCCGTGATCATAATCCAGGACGAAGCATCGCAATACAACAAGTCACAAGTGTTTCCACGACGAGCAAAATTCTCATTTGATTGTATTTCAGCTAAATGCGTCAGGCAATTGCAGTGCAAATCTATCTTGTTGAATCGAATCATTGAACGTGATCAAACTAAGCGTCGTAGGATCGTCGCTACGTTAGGCATCTGTTCAAAAGATGAGTCGAAAATGTGAGGCTTCTAATGATACGCCCACAATCATTGCTGTATGCGGCTTCGTCTCTAAGATAGTATTTCAACAGACTCGTGACACGACCGCCTGACGCTAATTTTGATCACTTACAATCATTTGAATCGACAAGATCGATCTTCGATGCAATTTCGTGAGGACTGTAGCTGGGCATAAAGTCGAATTAGACTTCTCTGCTCCCGTAGTTTTTTTCGAAATCTTGACGAAACATTTTTTGATGAAGTCACAATTATACATCCATACAGAGGCGAATCTACACTGATTAATATCATTTCTTTCTATACAGACAATTATTGTACTTTTTACTAACTAGGTACTCACATGGCGGCTGACAATTTGATTGGTGTAAAGTCTCTCTACGTCGGGTTTCAGCCGACCAAAATCCCATATCAAGGGGCGCATGCTTCCTGGCAAGGCGTGAACACGGTACACGAGATGGCGTAATGGGATAAGTCCTGTAGGAAGTATAGGGTGTACAGACAAATTTGGTTCATGATTATGATACTAAAACAACAGAGTAACTCAAATTCGTGATCCAAAGCTAGACCGTAATGTGAATTATTTCTAATTACTAGTGTTTTCACAATTGATAATCTCAAAGAAGATCAAGTCTACTTTTGTCGAACTTGTCATCAAAAGATCAAGGTTCCTTTTTTAACATTAACAAATGATGCACAAGGAAGAATTATAAATTGTTTCATACCAAGACGATCTTCTGACTCATCTGTTTTCACATGGTATCCGAGACCTGCTGACTCCAACTTATGAATCATGTCGTCTGTATGCCTGCAAGATAACAATTTCGCTGCCATCAGAGAAAAACTAAAATATACCAAATTTCATTTTACTTATTACTACGGTAACGTTTTGGCTATCCAGGTCGAGCTATCAGCAACTTGGATCCTTGACAGGCTTGTAATATTTCTTAATTCAATATTTGTTTTTAGTAATGACCCTCATAAGCACATCTGCGTTCGAATTCCTTCGCATCTGAAATAAAGTAAACAAAGACTAGCAGCAAATCGCTTGATACAAAAACACATAGGAGATCCGTTATAGCAGGATCATAAATCCAACCAAGTCTGGCTTGATAGGTCGTTGACCCCTTGACAGGTCCAAACGAACTGAACTAGATTGATCACGCATCCACGAAGTCAATTTATAAGAGTCGTAGAGTAGATGCGAAGTGTAGTCACCTTCTGTAAGGATTACAGGCAGCGATAAACTGCAGTCTTTCCAGACCCTGTCCAATAGGTCTTCCATTGATTCTGCGGTCCACCATTACCTCCTTAATCATGCTCAGTGCCTCTGTGGTGTTGGCCTCATCGAAGAACAGAACCGTGTCAATGTTCTTTCCTTGGTTTTGACGAGCCATCTCTTCCGCTTGGGTTACTTTCAGCTTGATATCTTCGTATGTTGTACCGCCATGAACCTTGAAAACAATTAAAATAGCTAATACGTATGATATTTGGAGGTATGTGTGAAATCTTAGTCAATTTGATCATGCATATTTGGTAGTTCTAATAATAAACGGTAGCTGTAGGTATTTTCCAGGCATTGACAGAAAGGGCATCGTCCTACCAAAACTAACTCAGCGACTCAGAATAGCCCAAATGTCGTATGAAATATTTTTCGACAAATAAGATCACTTGCATTCTCAGCTTTAATCACAAAAGATATTTTGTCAACAATTTCCTAAGAAATACTGTTAGATTCTCATAATTCAAAAGCTACTGACCTTTACGAGTAACAGGTTTCGTGGACCTTTAGGGCCCGTTTGTAAGCCGCACATGTACCGGATTAAACGAGTCTTACCACAGCCAGTCTCTCCCATCACGATAACAGGAATATTGCACCTGATGATTAAAAGGTCAACGTCGTCTAATAATAATCGCTATACTCTATAAAGTACTTCAAATTATTTCCTGATAGGTGTATGTTTGAGTAGAATTCCATTTATACCAAGGCAAACGACAGCCTGTCGCGTATTGATGGAAAGTCGTGCGCCGAATAAATTGCCCGTCCAGTTTTTGGCATAATGGACTATATCGACAAACTCAACGCTGGACTAAAGCAGGAATGGTAGTCAACAAACAACGGAGGATTTTAAGTTGTATTTATGTTTAAAAAACAGAAGAGACACAGGTAGTTGAAATTTCACATTGGTGGAAACGTCATTGACCTGGTGAACAGAATTACTCAATTTTACTCCCCAGTGAGCAAAACGTCGAGTGGGTCGTTCAAAAAGATAGATATGATTACCAATAAATACCTAAATCTCATGTGAATTGCCAGAATCTTCTTAACATTGTCTGTAGTCAGTTCATAGGTTCGGTCGGGATCGTGTAACCACTGAACACCCATAACAGAACACAACCGACTTATCTTTTCCTCCCTAAAATGGAGTAGATGAAGGAAATATTAGTCCACACAGGGGAGGAAATCGTATACCTCTATCACAATAACAATCATCTTAGCCCTTCAACATTGAGCTACCTACGTTAAATACCAATACAACGAGTAACATCCTCCGTCCACGTTCGAAGTATTAAGATGTTAAGTACCGCCAATGAGGTAAACGTCACTCCAATGAAAGGAACTTAGAAGGGTTACCTACTTTTTCAAATTCTCCGTGTTTGTTGTAAAATCAACTCGTTGGGCTTCCAATCCATCACGCAGCGGTTTTGACATCAGGCCTTTCTCCAAAATTTGCCCTGTTCGAGGGTCAACGAGGTCGCCAGAGGAATCAATATAGAAACCAAGAAACGTCATAGTGATGTGGTCTTGATTGAAGAACAGGTATGGATGAGGGCTGAATGACAAAAGATCAACTGCAGTGAGAGAACCGTAAGGTAAATCCTAAAGAGCTACGATTATATCTTTGTCTTGCCAATGCAATTGGTGTTGCCGTGACAGTTTTCCTATAGTTACATTTTTGCTTCTTTTTTTCGGCTCTCTGCATTATTATGTTGATTATTTCGATTAGGGCAAGCAGTATCTGTTTGGTACAGCAAACACCACACAAGATAGAGGAAGGACCGATTCCCGTGTAAACAATTAGAGATTGATTCTCAACCTGTTCATTATTGAGGAGAAAGTTTTGAACAAACTTATTCCAAAATTCGTCAAAGAGAAAATACTGTGGGTAAATAACCTTTTCAGGTAGAAGAGTCAATGTATTTATTTCATAAAAAATTCAATTGGAGATCAGATATGTATAGGAAGTGGCAAAGACAGAAGTTCTTGGTTTTTCATAGAAGTCGTAAAAGGTTTCAAGTACATTTTGGTTAAGCTGTCACCTTGCAACAATTAATTAGGAGAATCAGGAAATGACGACCGTTATCTTTATTTCTGTCCACCAACCCCGAAGTGGTTTA